TCCAATTCCCACGAACTCAACCAAAAGGATCTTTGTAGAAACCGAGCAGCTCTCGATCATCTTGGAACGTATGGGAGGCAAAGCCCAAGGCATGGCCATTGATTTGGACCAGTTCCAACACGAAATCCCGATCTGTCATGAGCTCCTACAATGAAGGCAAGGGCTTTATCACGTACGTGGCTAGTGACAAACAGAGCTTCGGCAATGCAGCGGTTTAAGAACAAAACAATGTCTGGCTGTCGGGTGAAGGAATATCTCTTTTTTTACAAACAACAATGCAGTCATGTGACCAAATCTTGAAGCTTCAAGTAACCTTTGGAGGCAAAAATGAACCAAATCTTTGAAGTCTGAAGCCCCCCATGAGATGTCCCGATCCACTCCTCGGACGCTTTCCACAAGGCCACCCCCTGGGCCCGGTAGCCGTCCAGTGGCTTCGTAGGCGTGTTCATTGCAGGATCCGCGTAACATGCCTTCCTGCCAACAGTCAGCCGCCGCAGCAAACATGGAGTATGAAGGTTTGCACATACCGATTGGTGGACATAAAACTGTTCTAGACTTGCACTCGTTCCATTAGCAGGCCACGTGTTCGGCAAAGCAACACATGATGTGATCCTCCCATCAGCAAATGCCTTCCATCGAAGAATTTCCAAAGTTCTCTTCATATCCATGAGGACGAGGATCAAGCAAACCATGCAAAAACATGCAAAAACCTTGGGTATAAGATGGTATAGGGGGCCAAGCTTCTGACCTCAAAAAATGGGTGTCAAACCTTTGCTACCAAGGACGACAATCACATCCTGCAATTTCCACCAGATCACCGAAGGTACCCAGGTCCGTACCGAAAACTTTCCCACCTTGCGGCCAAGCGGATCACCTACCGGTCACCGCGAAACTCCTCAGCGAAAACCGCACATGAACGGATCACCGACATGTGTTGCAGCTCATGTCCAGAGGCTACGTCCCTGACAAAACCCCAAAAAGGGACCTCAGCCTCGGTCAAACCAAAACAAACACGTGAAACACGGCCAAATGCGTCAATGCCCGTGCTTTCGACTCGAATCTCCGATGCGCCCGAACCTTTCCGTCTCCTCCGAGACGCTCCACAAGGCGCCGGCGTTGGACTTGACGGCCGCGAGGACCAACTCTCGATCGTGTTGGAGCTCCTGTGTTGTGCAGTTTCCGCATCAGCATCCTAAAAAACGCCAGGGATTGAGGCACCAGAGGATATCTGTGTTGAAAAGAAAAGATATAGTTACCACAGCAGGTTATGGTTTTGTTCAGCGCCCACCAACATTGCCAAGCGCCTGTGGAGGCCATGTGAAATGCTTGGTCAGAAATAGCTGTTCTAGAAGAAACCATTCTTACAATGGCTGAAGCCGAGCCTCTGTCAATAGATGTTGATGATGCTTGTACCTCCGTCCCATCATGCCTTCTCGCAATGGGCTGTGTGGGCAAATTAGGCCACCTGTCCAACAGCTTTCGAGATCCATGTGATCCCCAACTGGGCACCACGCATGGATCTTCCTCTGGATGTTGTGTAGTGTTTGTTCAAAAGCCGCTTGAAGGATGTTCTGCAATACCTTACGGGCTACCATAGGTGATTGCGGTGCATCATGGTAGTTGCTATGAGTTGAATGGGGGATTGAACGAAATGTCGCAGTGGCCTCAATCAAGGCGTTAGCGACACTGTACGTGCACGTGGTCTAGCTCAGGGACGGAACCCCAGGGTATCAAGGCTTGTTGAAAGGATTGCAATCAAAGATGCAAGTGGCTCAACCAAAGAGATCTTTGAGCCATGTCTGAGAGCTATGGCAGCTCCCACAGCTTACTCATGGGCAATTCCCGGAATTTCCACTTGGGAAACAAAGGGCTTGTTGCAAGGCAAATTGGAACCTAAAGAGGCAAATGTTGCGGGACCTCTTTACGTTGGTGGCTTTCAAAAGGCACTTGCATCCCCAGGAAGCGCTCATCAGCTCCAGAGCCTGACGTGTTTGCAATCCAAAAGTGAAAACTTCGAACAGCAGTGTTGGCCCAACTTGCTTGGTGTTGAATTGGCAAGCCGGTGGTGAAGGTGAATTGACGCCAGTCCCTGACTTGGAAGTCTTTGGACGGGACATTGTCAAGACGTGCATCCAGAACCGGGCACCGCTTTGAAGGTCCACGGTGGTAATTCGCAATTCACTTGTCCAACAAATGTTCGCGGAAGAACGTTGACATGCATATATTGAGCAAACTTGTGGAAGAGGGGAAACGGATTGATAATTTTGTGTTTCTATTAGGGGGGCGCTGTTTTGAGAATGTTAGTTCGTTGTCAGGAGACTGAATCTTCTTATTGACCTTGCTGCTCAAAAATGCCTTCATTGTGGTCTCACCTGGCTGCAAGCCTCCTTTGTTATGTGTGTCAAAAGTTTCAATCGTACTAAGTTCTAAGTGTTTCAAAGTTGGCGGTGTGATCTGCGGCAGACACAAGCTTAGTAGATCCTGGGTCACCAATGTTCCGCTCCGCTAGTCCGCGTCTCCTCTGGAATCTTCTCAAAGGATAAACCGTCCGTCTCCACCATCTCCAAGGCTTTCAGAAATTCTGGGGACTTCTGGTACCAGCTCACACATGCCCTCGGCTGAGTTGATCGTTGCAGCTGAAAGCACCACTTAGAAAAGGCCGAATTAGTCACTAACGCTGGCGATGCATCGAGAGCAATCGTTCCACATTCAACGCCCTGGACTCAAAGAGAAATTGAAGCAACCAGGATCGCCTCCCCTGAACTTTAAAAGTTAATGAAAGAGGTATAGGGACATAATTTAAAGGGAAAGCATATATTTGTCCGTTTTGCTACAATTCTGTCACCGTTGTATTTCATGGTTTCATGTTAAGGAATTCAGCAGCGCGCACGTCCCTACAGCATCGCCTTTCGGACTTTCGTCCATATTGAAGCTCTGGAACTATGACCACTTCATGAAATGTCCGTGGCCTTTTTGCTTCGTCTTTTATTTGTTCTTTTGCTGTCCTTTTTTCTCTTCTTTTAGCCCTCTCGCTCTCCCCCCCTACTCAATCAAGTAGGCGCCTACTTAATTAAGTAAGGGAGCGGTCGCCAGTACCTTACTAGTATGCTACTACCTAGGACGCAGAATAGCTCACGCTATTCATTTGGTTCTTAAAATCTTAGGGAAACTTAAGTTCGCAACCTAGTAGAGATGGCCTCCAACCTAATAGCAAAAGGAACCTAATAGCGATGGCATCCAACCTAGTAGCGATGACCCGTGCATAGTCATAGTAAGCTTGTACTTATAGCTTGTCGATAAGGCTGCGTTTCTGAACGGTGGCCTATTCTCTCATCACAGCTTGCTGCCACGTTTTCTGCCGAGCTTCGTGGCAGAGCTCGTTGAGTCGCTCAAGTCCTGCAAGGCCAGATCTTGGTCCAAGAGCAATCGATGACCATGGGACAATCTTTGCACTCTGGCCATGCCGGTCGTCCGGACTCGCTGAACGACGCTTGCCAGTACGTGGTCCTGGGGAAGCTAGTGAAACTACCCGGTCTTGGTGAGGAACCGCAGAAAAGCAAGTGCAAGGCTTGAAATCATTTCAGTTCATGCCATGTTCATCCATGTTCTGTTTTGTATTCACAGCAAATCTGTACTGTTTCGGTTCATATCTCTTCTGAACTCCGTATGGGGATTCCTTGAATTGTCTGGTTCTTGAGCACGGCAGGACCCTCACCAAAACCCGGACAAGTCAGATTGAGCCATCAATCTGTCCGCTCCAGTCAGGTTGGTGGGTCCATCCGCTTACATATTACCTCCCTCTATCAATCTGCCACACCCAGCTTGATCCATGGAGGTGGCTCGGGCTTTGCGATTCCGGAACAAATGGATGTCATTCCGGAACAAAAGTCCGGTACATGTTCGCCCAAATAAACCACCCTACCTTCCCACCCTGTCCCCATATATCCCCATGTCATTGTCTTTTTGGGGTGGACGAATCTGATGGCTAAAACCCTTATTCTCCCACAATTCCTCCAAAGCAGGAATTTGAGATTCTCTGATTTCTCTCTACAGTGAGGTCCGGTGCCTAAGTTAGAACGAACCCACTAATGAACCCTCCCGAAAGTTTTCTTGATAGTCTCTACCAATTGCACTAGCCGTAGCCTATCTATATGTATAACTTCCAACGTACGAACCACTAAAAAAATTGACGGATTCTCAACCCGCACCAAATCCCTGGGCTCACCAAATCCACTTCGCCTCTCATCGATCTTGTGCTTCGCAGCAATCTGGACCTTCACATCATGCCAGGTCCAATCATCCGGCAAATCCTGCGTTCGCCACCCGGGCCTTTCTCAAGATCTTTCGACTTCCACAGTTTCTTAGGTTCACTAGCACGAAAATCAGCCCCATTCTTGGGTTATCTGAAAACATAACAGAGATTTGCTTGTTTGATCTTTGTTTGCCAATGGATGCTTTTGCAGTTTTGTCCCCCCCCCGTTTGACCCGTACAGTACCACCCCTCCACCCTCAGTCCGTCTCAAGCAGATTGTCGCCCGCTAAGCTCTGGATGGAAATCTTCATGGCATCAAAGCGTCCATTAAAGTACCCCTATGACATGGCCAGTCGTTGGTTACGTGACCATACCCAAATCTAGGGTCTTCAAGTAGTTCTTCAAGTCTGCAGCTCACTTATCGAATCAAGACATGTTCATTGTTAGCTGTTCTTGAATTCGAAAGTTTACCACGACTAGGTCACTTCTTCGCAGGTTCAGCTTGATTCAAATATGCGGCTTGCCCAGTTCATGCACCTCCCGCTTGACAAGACAAAACTCTTCACTGAACGTCAAAGGTCGAGAAAAACAAACTCACACACAACTATTTCGGCAGTAGAGACATGACATCGTAATTTCAATGCAAAATCGTGGTGCATGTGAAGCCCTGCAACCTGTAGGACCTGTAGCCCACATCCTCATGTCCAGCTCATTCCACACCAATTGCCCTGATTGCAAGCAGAGCTGCCCATTGGGAGGCCCCGGGGGAGTCCCTACGAAGCCACATTGGCATCGCAGCACCAAACGATCCTGCGAGTTTCTCAAAGCATCTCGAAGCCAAGTAGTAACAAGAAGCTATTAGTAACAAGTGCCACGCTACTAGTAACAGGTGCCTTACTAGTAGTAACAAAAAGCCATAAGTCGATCTCCCAATTCACAAGTCGATGGGTCTTCCTGGATCTGTTCACCATGGATTTGATCACCTTTCACCTCAACATAGAGCCACATTGGGAGAAATGTTCGGATCAACAATCAACCAACCCAAACCACGTGTTCTCTTCAGTCTTCTACTTTTACCCGGCCCAATGCTTTCATTTCTGCAAGAGTAGTGCAACACCTAGGTGTTGGAGAGGCTTCTGTAAGAACAACACTGTCAAACTCAGTGTCTTCAAAAATGTTGATCATCTCCCTAGAGGAGGCACTTTTGGAACCTTTTTTCTGGGGGCTCTCACCTGGTCAATCGCAGCTGGAAGTGCGTCCGCATCACAGTGATCAATCAAAAAAAAGCGCAGCGATGTAAAGCAGGGAAGGATCTGGGTCTATTGGCTTAATTGTTGTCCGGATGCGCTTAGACCGATGCTCTTAGCATGTTTACTTAGAGCCAGAGTCCACAGGCTCGGCTTCCCTCTTCACGCTCGGCTCCACTCGGCTCCTCCATCAACCGAAGCTCGGCTGCCATCTCAGCCTCCGTCCTCAAGAGCCGGTGGTAGACCTGGCCGGTAGAGCTAGAGAGATGCCCAATAGAGTTCCAATCAGCCAAGATTGGAACAACACGACCGTATGTCACCAGCAACGCATCTTTACGAACTACACTGGACCTACACCTATCACTGGTCCCAAATACCTCTTTCGCATTCGCTCGAAGAGTCCTTCGCTATAGGCTCCAACCTCTGCTTGACGTGTGCCTTCTTTGGGCACGTAACCTGGATTGAGCGGAACGGCGGAACGCCGGTTTCTTCCACCAAATCAATCTCGGGAAATTAGCCGTTGACATGCTTTATATATCTATCACGCGCAGGAAAAAAGAAGATCCTTCAAACCCTAGAGGGGCACATTTCTGGCTGAACTCGTCCTTCACTTAGTAAGTCTTATTTTGATTGTGTCTTTGGCACCTTTACAAGCCTTCAAAATACATGTTGTGCGTTCCCAAATCGCCCATTTCGTTGGACTTCTGACAAAGCCATCTGTGACGAATCTCTCCACACCGGTCGGCAGCTTTCTCACCTCCGTCGCTGGTCTTCTTGAGCGTTCGTTGGGCCTGTCAGTGGATGTGTTCGGTGCTTGAGCTCACAGTGATGCGGTATGGGGTGCGATGGTATGATGTGGTGTCACAGCTGTGGGATCAGCCATGTGCCAAGAATTCCAAAGAAAAGAAACACATATGCTCTCAAATTCTCAAACAAACAACTTGGATGATGCATGTCATTTCAAGAGGACCCCAGGTGTTAAAAACCCCTCAAGTCCATTTCTTGTTCCCCTGTGGCCAAACCAGGGCTGAACTCCCTTAGGTTCAGTAACTTATGTTCTTACAATCACTTGACAACATGAAACACAACTCGCGCCTTTATTTGGGGATGTTGGGCAACACATCGACTAGCAACATGTAAACTCATATGGTGATTCACCCAGTTATTTGGGGGAATCGGATCTGATGAGTCTTGCACATGATTTAACGATATTTAACGACTCCATCAAGAAAAAGGTGGGAATGCCTTTGCTGCAGAAGCAACTGAGCGATCTCGCAGTCAGGGGCCAAAAGCATAATGGCATAACTAACTGAAAAGTGCAAACGGATGATTCCCAAGGGATAAACCTCCTGTCCAAAATTAGAACCCAATACAACAAGACCGGATACAAACACCCCCAAAAAGGAACCGACAATAGATCTAAATCTAAACTTATTTGTGTCACTTGGATAGAATGAGACCATGTCACAAAGGAAATCACAAAGGTCAAACAGAGTTTGCTAGTTGACCTTTTCAACCATATATAAGATACAATAGAGTCACATGCGACTCATGCGACGTGCAATTTCAAACGATTGTTATGCAAATGCTTTAGCCCCAACAGTTTCGAGCTGGAGCGCCACCCAGTGACTCTGGTAGCTCAGAGCCGTGCTGCTGGTGGCGGTGCCCGCGTTAGGGTGCGTTCAGCTCGAGCTCCTTGCGCTCCTCGCTTTGCGTCGCATGAGGGCACGGCGTCGTCCCAAAATCACCGCTTTGAGGGTGCAGCTTTCCCCTTTTGCCTTTTTTTTCTTTGTGTCAATGTTCTTTCCGTCTTTGTCTTGTGTCATCTAGACCATTCTGTTTCGTTCCTCTCTTGCTTTTGTTGATCTTTGTTGGATATTCTTTAGATATCCGCTAACGCTAACTTCAGGATTTTTGGATGTTTTTTTCGATCCCTCCAAAACATGTCGTCGAGTCCGATAGATCAAAATGTGAAGTGCTCAATTCGCGGAAAACAAATCTTGTTCGTCTCGATGACCATAAAAACTAACGATCCGCACAAAATACTGCAAAATACCACCCTAATTACATGGAATATGTCTGTTCCGATCTTTCACTTGGCCTTTCAGGTTGTACAGTAGCAACTCCCCGCAGAAAAATATTTTTGCAGTTGGCAGTTTTGCAGTCCAAAACCACTCTCCTGGCAACTCTGGCAGAGCCGTCGCAGAGAGGTGTGGCATGACCTCCTGAGTCTCTCAACTCTCCTACTTCCTCAAGATTGATGACAAACGTTTTAGACGTTTTAGGATATCTCAAGGAATTCTAGACAACGTAGAACGTTTGGACGGAATCTGTGTAGACCCTGGCATGTTGGCACGGATCATTTGGGACTTGTGGTGGTTTTCCAATACAGCCATGCCCTATTCCATGCTTGAACGCGCTATTCCCTATTAGACTAACGTTCTACAAAAAAGAATATGAGGAAATTGACATTCTTGATCTCTTGCATGCTTGGTACACGTGACCCACAAGTGGAGCAGCCAGACATAAACCTGGGGATCAGTGAACATCTCTTGGTAGGTCTGGAAGTTGAACATTCTGCTTCGAACTTTCCGTTTTGACCCATCCTCCAATAAACTTAAATCATCCAATTGGCAGGTGTTGTATTCCGCAAGCGTGCTTCAGGAAGCATGCTGCAACTAGTCTGCACATAATGATTCTGAATATCAGATCAATTGCTCCCAACAAAAAAGGAGCCAACAAAAGACAAACAAAACAAGCGCGCAGAAATGAGAAGACCTCCGTCAAACCCTGATTGGGGCCTGCAACCAGTATTCATCCCAATCAATTTTCTCTTTTCCCGACCTGGCCTGTGGCGCCAGGGTCTGGCTACAAGCATTTGCTTCACGTGGCACTTGTGGTGGCGATGTCAACGCCTGTGCAAACATCTTCCAAACGGGCTTTTGAAAGGAGCCAGGACGCTACTAGGGGCTCCTGGCCTTACTACTATGAACAAGAAGCTACTAGGAGCAAACGAGGGATTCTTTGCTTTAGAAACACCGCTCTCTCCTGCTGGTCACTACCTGTCTGAGTCCTTCCGTGTTGAGAGACAGCAAGTCTTCTACACCGGAGTCATCAACAAATTCAAAACCAAATCAGGTTTACAGAAGTGCCTTCAGTTTGGGGTCAATTTGCTGTCATAAGAACTTGACGATTGGAGCAATAAGCTAGATATAGCTAGATTCTCAGCAGAACAACATTTGAAGGACAAGCACAGCTTCAGTGAAGGAAGAGAGTGGAAACGCCCATGCTTTTGCCAACTTGGTTGCACAACTAAAGGCTTCGTAAAAGAATCCACCTAAAGTTGCACTTAGCAGTAACCCATCAGCTCCTATCCATTCCTGTTGGCCTTGGTTTGACAAAGGACTCTTCACTGCGAGCGCAGCCGGGCAACGCCGGGCACGGCGGGTCCTTCACGCGATCGTCCATGAGATGGCGCTGTTCCCAAAGCCTTGACCAGAGGATGGTGCTCGAGCAGTGCCCTGGACAGTGCCCAGTGCCCAGGATGTGTTGGGGGCCGTAAGAAATTTGGGCTCTGCATTTGCCCGTTCGATCTCGTTCTTTGCTCATGTGCACATCGAAAACAAGATCCCAGAAGAAGGAACCTGTGGAAGGCTCTCCTTAGGAAGGACATAGAAAACATCGGCACAATTTGTGGCATCGGTATCTTGCCCCTTGCGACTAGCAGGCCTCTGCCGCAGTCGATCCTGTTGCATCTTCACCTGGCAGGGTCGCGGGAAAAGGACGCCAACCTCGTCCAACTGTCGATGTTCAGCACACCAAGTAACTCAGCAGAAGAGTCACCAACAACTCAGCTTTTACTTACCTGTGAGTCTTGGAGTCACATGTTTGAAGATTCAATCTCATCTCGAAGATCGATAGTCCATCTCTTGGTCGCCACACATCTTCATACAGCCTGGCTCGCTCCTTGTCAAAGGGTGTCTGCCAGAGCTGTCAGGTGCCAGTACAAAACGTGGGTGTTGTTGGAAATTCGAATCCAAGATCGTCTTTTACATGCTGATTTTCTTACGTAGCCTGTGAAGAAAACATGACGTTGCAAGAGATGAGCAGGAACTTCCATTGGCCAGAACGATATCCCGAGACAGCGATGCCGTTCGGTCCGTCCTCCTGCGCTTGGCTTTGAGCTTCTGCAAGCTCCGCCATGAGCTTCTCCTGCTGCATCGCCACCTGGTGCAGATCGAAAACCTGCTCTGGCAACGAAGTTCCTTTACTTGCCATAGGCGCCTCTTCCAACAGTCCCAATAAGCTCAGAAGCTTCAGTAAGACTCGGTCACCGGTCAATCTTGCCTGTGATGTTTGGGCACTGACTATATGGTTTATAGACACCCTCGTGAAAATGCTAGTATTGGGGTATGTTTGACAACATGTATAGTCTTCAATATCATACAAACATCATAGGTACAGGTCAACACCCTCTGCAGGCAGTAACTATCCTGAAATGTTTACCTGGATGGTGTGGGCATCCTCTGTATCATGTCCAAATCCAGGAAGAAACGATCCAATTGGATTCGTCGTCTCACTGCACGGCAGGCAATCGAAGCTCATGGGGAGACTGAGTGAGTCGTCTTGGATCTTTTGCATCGCTGCTACTAGTACCAACTGCATGACTCCTAGTAGCAAGAAGCTACACTTGTTACTAGTAGCGATGCACTTGTTTGTGACCTTCTCAGAAGGTGATTGGAGACACTGTTATGTAGGTTTGGAGGGTCCAAGTACCTTCTGAGAAGATACTTGGATCCCTAGGGATTGTATATTTGCAAAATATTTGCTATGCACTCAAAGCACGTGCTCATGGCAGCGCGTCTGGTCATAGTGCTTCCTTTTGACTCATCACAACCACACTGCATGTCTTTTGCACAATCGCACGTCAGAGTTGACGAGCGGCTGGAGGCCTCTTGGACTCTAGGTTCCAAGTGAGACCCGGTGCGTTTGAACGTCTCAAGAGTGAGGCACCCGGAATTTCTTGGTGAGACGTACTGTTCCTCTTGTAGTTTTCATCAATTTCCATCCATGGCTAGACATCTACATTGGGGGTGACTAAATTTTTGAGACATTCCCTTCTCAAGAGTTTCAACTGCACATGTCTGCAATGAAATCAGAGATGTCGATGACGGTCGCCTCAAGCGGACGTGATCGGAGAGGGTGCGACATGAGGCGAGACATCTTATACCAGGATACCCTACAGCTTAGTGTCTGCGTGTATTGATCCAAATAATTACAAAGGTAAAGCAGGATATCAAATCGAAACAACCACCTTCGGTCGTTCATGTTGACAAAATCGTTACCTTGAAGTCCAGAAGGCGTACTGAGTGGCATGATATCTGTGCCGGCAAGAAATGATGAAATCACACGAAATCTACGCAACATGCAAAAACAACGAGCATCCAGAACATAGGGAAGTTAGAAAGCCAAAAACCCTCCACAACCAGCAAATTGGAGGGAACCCAAGCAACGGCTGCCACTTTACCTTCAGTCATCAAACATCAATGTCCTGTGTCCTTGTCTGTTTTCTGAACCAGTCGGATGTCCAACTCACAGGGATCCGATGATCGGTCCTGCTCATCGCCCTTCAGCATGTCTGTGGTGAGGGGGATCGAGTTGGTCGTGAAGAATCCTCAACTTCGACCCGACGGAGAAGTCGGTCCGGAGGCCATCGCTCTTCGGTTGGAGGCCATTCCTTTGAACCCCGACGGATGGGATGAACATGTGCTTCCAAGCACGCCAAGCGAGTCGGACATCCTTTGAACCGTTTTTTCACGTGCCTTTCACGTCACTTGACCTTTTGGGGGGATCAATATGGTGATCTTTCCATTCACCATCATTCACCTGTCTGACAGGCATACCAAGCGGCGACACTGCTTCCCCAGCTCATGCAGCTTTTCCTTCAACCCCTCCACGGTCTGGCGGCATGCGATGGCTTCTTCACTGCTGAACACCTGCTTATATAATGCTTTCAAAGTAAACATCCATTTAATGCTTCCGTGTCTTCTTATGCGCCAGTCAAAATGACCAATGACTAGATCAAAAGATTCAACCTCACCTCTCCTGGAAGTCAGTCAGTCAAAAGACTATATATCTAAGAATTCATCTGACAACACACACAATCCGCGAAAGGTTTATTGGAAGTGATCTATCCCCCCTCTTCTGTGTTCCATGCGTTCCACATCTTTGGAATTTCCCACATTCCGCCCCACATCCACACATACAATCAAACAAGACGTGTTCATACGTTTTCAGTTCTGTCCTGTTGCCTTGGGGTCATAAGTGGCCACCAAATGAGAGACAAAGATGGAGACATTGATCTGCTCACTGCCACCAGCGTACATCTTCACCAACCTGAAATGTGAGACTGCACACACACGAATGCGCCGAATCGTACAGGCGCCGAATTGGTGGAGTTATCCTTGTTTGAATTCCAAAAGCGATGTGTCTGAATGTTCCATGTAAAATATTACATGAATAAGGTAATTATAATGTTTTAAAGAAACACATCTTGTTCTTTACCATCCGCCTCCAGTTTCCCCTGCTCTATAATCATTGACGTGTCACCAAACACAAACATCTTCGGATCGATCCGAAACACGAGCCCCGAAAAGGTCGCCAAAGCACTTCACAGCCCCGAAAAGGGTGCCGCCGGAGTTGGTGAAGTCGTCAATGATCAAGATGTGATCCTCCATATCCATGGAACTGTTCATCGAAATTCCCTTTTGACAATGCCTGCCTAAGATCACGATATGCTGAAAGACCCCCTATCCAAACCGCGTCATGTTCCAGTGCCTCCGTCCAACCAACGGAGTCATCGTGGAAATATGTTCTCTACAGTTTCCCACACTCTCCTTGCTAATAGCAATGGCCTCCAACCCAATAGCAAATGAAACCTAATAGCGATGGCCTCCAACCTACAGGTTCCCACACTCTCCTTGCTTCCATTGAAGTGAGTGGACTTCTCATTCTCCGTCCTCAAGCAGCTCACGGGTCTCCGGTCTTACGGCAGCTCGGACCTCCTCTCGATCCTCTTTGGTCAGGGTGTCAAGGGTGGAGCACGTCTTCGGCCCTTTTCTGGGTTGGATAATCAGCCGAGCCGATATCACGCTGCGTTCTTTTTGGTATATCACAGGACCTTGATCAAGCCGATCACCTGTCTGAAGTCTATCAACATTTAAATTGAAACTCTGAATCAATCTTCACAGTGTCTTGCACCAGCCAAGGGACTTGAAGGCCTACATTCACCAGATTTAGGACCCATCGCCCCTCGCCCATGGCTGTATCACACACACCACACCACACTCTGCAAGTCTGCTCAAGTCGGGCAACTTTGTTCGTCGTTGCGCTCCTTGTAAGTTGAGAAAATGCAAGCAATCAGCATGCGGGCCTGGAATCTGTCTATCTGCCGGATTGCAATCTGTAGAGCGTCCAGTTCTCGTCGTGATCCCACCGACTGCCGCAACCATCCAATGTGTTCATAGGCAAGCTCAATCTGCTTCCACCCTGACGGCCAAGACAAATCCAGCCTGCGCAAGCATGCTTGTACCAAATACAGGCGCCGCTTGATCTCATTTCTGACTCCCATGCTCTGCACCAGCTCTGGAGGTACGTTTGACAACATGTGCTCAATCTCCGCGAGTCTCTCCACCGTAGGTGCCATTGCCAGCTGCAACTTGCAGATTGTCAACATGGCGGTGACGAAACCGTCGTCCCACTGAGCAACACAGGACCTTGACATGGCAGCTTCCACGGCAGACTTTGCCCAACGGAAAGCGCATGCCTTTGAGTTCTGAAGTGTCTCGGTATTGGTTGAGGCTTGAAGGTCTTGGACGGGACGATGCATACGAAGCCACTCCGAAGCCATACCAAGCTGGCCCAACTCCGCTGCATCCTCCAGCCAGCAACCCAACCCAAAGAGCTCAGCTGCTGCGATGGCGTCACTCTTGCGGATGAGTGAGCCAGTCGATAGCATGACTTGCAAGCACGTCCTTGCATTGCTCAAAGCCTCGAGCCCCTTGAGACCCTCTACCTTCCAGTGACACCTCCTGGCCATGCTACGCCATGTAACTCCCATCCACGCGAGGATCAAGGATTCAATCGATGCGTGAAAAGGAAGTTGCTCCTTCTTTGCGCGGACCTCATCAAGGCACACCTGCAAATGGGCCAAAGACTTATCCAAGTCACCTGTACCGTAGTGCTGGAAGTGCCATTGTGCGCGAAATACAAGCTTTAAGTCTCTCCTCATGTCAGCAACATCATCATCTTGCAAAAAGAAAGAGCCGAGCACTCGCTCTTGGTATGACCGAGCTTCATCATACTGACCTTCTGCGATGAGAAACCTCACCTGCAAAAATGCAGCATTGACCTTTCCATGAATAAGCTGCTGCTCGGGCTTCTGATGGATGTGCACTGGCTGCGCGTTGATTGCCGCTAGCACTCTCCCAAAGCGCCATTTGTGCACAGCCCAATTGTCAACTTCGCTTGCACTTAGAAGAGAGGCGTCCACCTTGATTCGCTCCCGAAGTCCTGAAGGCACCTTCGCCAAACCTTGCAAATACTTCTGCCACTGTCTGCTCGCTTGTGTTGTTTGGAGCACGCCGATCAGCTCAATCCGTTTTGATTGCAACTTTAGTGGTTGACTTTGGGCAACGGCACAAGGTTTTCTGAGTTTTAACATGGACCCGGACAGCTTGAAGTTCGCGTCATTTTGCCATCTCAGCCACAGGTGGGTGAAAGTATGGTCAAATGCATCCAATGTCCTTCGATCAAAACCACAGGCTGCCTGCACAAATACATTGTCCCAGCCTAAACAGCGAGCTTTGCATACCAACCATCCACTGTAGCAGCTGTCTGACAAAACAAACAACTTGCAAGTCACATCCAATAGATGGCCACTTTCCACCCAAAGCATCATGATATCTTCGAAAGTCACGCATCCCTCATTGAACACCCAAGCACCATCAGAGGCACGGCCATGCGCCATCACACAAAGCACATGAACGTGGAGTCCAGTATTGAAGAAACGTTCAATCCGCTCCAATGCGTCATCCTTGGACATATGGGCATCCATTGCCGAGAAGGAATCAATATGCACTCCGAGGCTTTGAAAGAATGTTGTCAGCTCGTAGTAGTCTTGCGAAGTCGCCGTCAGGTCTATGGCTCTTTGCTCACTCGCTGTCCCT